CCCCCCTCCCCAACACTCACACACACCCCATGTCCCCAGACCCACCCCTCAGCCGGGGGTCCCCATACACGCCGGGCCCTTCCCTTCTCCCCCAGGTCTCCCCACTCCCTCCCTCATCTTTCCTGCAGTGTTCTTTCCCCACCCTGTGTCCTTGCCCCTCTTCACCCCACCGTTCCATCTTCACTCTGCACATCCCGGGGTCCCCAAGGCACCCTCAGCGCCTTTGTCTCGCTTCTGCCTCTGCTGCGACCTTGGGAAGGTGGCCCTCTGGACCACGTGCGAAGAGTCAGAGCAGCTTTAGCCAAGCAGGACCCAGACAGTCCGAGAGAATGTGGAGGGGGAGGGTCCCCAAGACCATATGACTGGCAGAGCCCCTGAGCACCTGCAGGACACAGGATCCGGGGGCCCTGGAAATGGGAGCCATGGTATTTGGACAGGATATTAGCTCTTGGACTAAGCCATGAAATCTGGGATGTTTCTAGAGAATTGACTATACCAGTGGGCCATAAAATGAAATTTCATCAATGGAGAGAGCTATAAGTAGTAAAAAGGGCCAAAAAAAAAAAATTAAATTGGGGTAGCTATAATAGAAAAGGACTGCATGAGAATAACTTCCTTAAAATAGAATTTAAAGGATGGAGAGGTAGTAAAGTGAACACAAGGACCTGTGTCCAATCCCCAGAACATTAAAAAAAAAAAAAAAAATTAGGCATGATGGTGGCACACTTGTAATCCAATGCTGGTGAGGTGAAAAAGTAGAAACAGGCTAAGCAACAAGTCTTGGGCCAATAAGAGATCCTGTTTTCTATGAAAGGGGAAGGTGTGTGTGCGCGGATGAGGAGTGCAGGTGCCTGCAGAGATCAGAGATGTTAGCAACATGTTATGAGCCACACCACCCGAGTGATAAACACCTAACTTGGGTCCTCTACAAGGGCAGTGTGTAAGGCCTTTCGGAGGACTCAGACCAGCATGAAGATGGGGCCTCCGACAATGGGGATCAACATCTTAAAGTCAGAAGATCCTCTTCTTCCCCCCCCCCTCTCTCTTTTTCTCTCTCTCTCTCATATGTCCTTCCTCCCTTTCCCTTTCTCTCACCATAAAACCTCGAGAGGCAGGCAGGTAGTCCAGATGTTCAGATTTCTTGTAATGACCCATGTAAACATTTATGTAACATTCAAGGTATTTGATCTTTACAACTCCTTAAGAACAATAGTTGTTGCTACAGAAGTTACAGTGGTCTGGTGGCTTTGGGGGAAGGGCACCAAGTTAGTCATGCAGTGAAGGGTCTGCTCTCTGCAACACTCCCAGTGTCTTGTGCCCATTACCATCTCCCATGACTAAAAACTCCCCACTGTCTTCTCTGGAAGCTACACTGAAGTCAGTACCCAGACCTTTGTCACACTGTCATCCACCTCTGTCCTCTTCATTGGGCAGCACTTCACAGGGGTGACTGCTTGCTTCCCAGGCTTTTATGCTGAGACATTCAACTATGTTGGGAAGGGGTTGCTGGGCATGAAACCCAGGACCTCAGCATTACAGGCAAACACTCTACTGCTGAAACACATCCCCCAAGCCTACCCATTCCTTGGTAGAGCAATCCTGGTGTGGAAGTCATACCCACCTTTTCCACAGAAGATAGATCCCAGTCCAGTCATGGAAATATGATTAAATTCCACCAAGTTAAACCAGAGTTGGAAGACAGAAAGCCTGTATTCTTACCAAATTGCTGGGAAATGCATTTTTATTTCTTTAAATATTATTTGGGAGTTTTTAGTTCTTGCATCTAAATGAGCCTAACAGACTACTCAATGGAAAATCATTTGTATTTTGATTGGAGAAGGAGGAATTTAGATAAAGCACCAATACTTAAACTTTAAACTTAGGGATTTCTTTCAAAAGAACAAATACAAAATATTAAAACACCACCCGAAATGCATCTATCTTCATAAGTTTTCCAAAATGTATCTTGCACTTATATTTGAGACTTCAGCTTAATTTCCTATGGCAAGTCCTAATTTGATGTTATTTTATGAGACTGGCTCTCATGTAGCCCTTGGCTGTCCTAGAATTTACTATGTAGACCAAGCTGACCCCAGAATTCAATATGTAGACCAAGCTGTTCTGGAACTCACAGAGATCCACCTCCCTGTGCCACCATGCCTGGCTATCCTAATTTTTTTTATATCTAAAAAGAATAAGTATCCCTCTGTATTGGAATCTATAAGAATCCATACCTACCTTCCTACTATTGGGGGTAGGGACAGCATGCTGTTAATAAATTAATATAACTGGCTTTTGATTGTTTATTGGTAAGATAACACATGAGGCTCACACATCTGTACATGTTATTTATTTTGAAGAAGGGTGTGTGTGAAACTGCTTTAATTAGTCCTGAGCTATTCACAATAGAGAGCAAACACCAAAACCAATGCCACGTAAGACTCTGTTTCATGTTTAGCTTGTACCCAGCTATCCCATGCCACATCCCAGATCCATCTGCTGGCAATCTGTGAGAGAAAATTTAAAAGATTCAGATGAGGTGTGTTAAGTGGATTTTAAATTACATAGCTTGATTTTTTTTACAATAGTGTGCCAATATCTCAGAAAGTTATATTTAGGGAATGATTTGTTATTCATCATGGAGTAACTCAAATGGTAACATACCTGCCCAGTGTGCTCAAAGCCCTCAGTTCCAGCCTTGCTCTATGAGGAAAATCAGGAGGCTGGAGCCATGGCTCAGTGGTTACGAACATGCATTGTGCTTCCAGAAGAGCCAAGTTCAGTTCTCAGCACCAACATCAGATGGCTTACAACCACCTGTATCTCCACTTCCAGGGGAATCTGTCACCTCTGGCTTCCTCGTGGATTTTCACTCATGAGCTCACACCCCTATCCCCCAAACACACACTACATGATTAAAAAGCAAATATTTCTTAAAGCTATGTCCAATTTCCCTTTAATGGGGAGACTCAGGAGTGATGCTGCTTGGCTCCCTTCTTTGCTGGAGGCTGGTAGTTGCCTCACAGTGAGTCCTAGGCAGGATTAGAAGGGCTCTGCTATATAATGGAGCCTAGCAGCTCAACCTATAGACCCAGTCTACTGTTCCAGACCATGCTTCTTGCCACATTTAGAAATCTTCAGCCCAATACTAGTTAGGGTCTTGTCTGGCAGCAATGGTGATGGATCCACAATGGCCACCCATGCTTCATGGCAGGAACCTGGAGGCAGGAGCTGATGCAGAGGCCAAGGAGAAGCTGCTTCCCGACTTGCTCAGCCTGCTTTCTCACAGCACCCTGGAACACTGGTCCAGGGGTGACACCACTAACAATGGGATGGAGTCCCTCCCCCCATCAAACACTAATTAAGAAAATGCCCTACAGGTTTGCCTACAGCCTGATTTTATGGAGGCAATTTTTCAACTGAGGTTCCTTCCTCTCTGATGACTGTAGTTTGTGTTAGGTTGACATAAAACTAGAAAGCACAACTGACTCTTTTTCAACATGACACATAAACATATCATTAAGCCATAAACTTTCCTATCTTGATCATCACTAAAAATCATACATTAATAACAGGACCACAATATAAAATATTCTTCATTACCCTAACATGCCTAAATGAAACTTACTGGCTAATTAATATAATTAATATTTACTTTGATGTTTTTGAGACAAGGTTTCTCTGTGTTACCCTGTCTTGGAACTCAGGATGTAGACCAGGCTGACCTTGAACTCGCAGAGATCCACCCGTCTCTGCCTCCCAAGTGCTGAAATTAAAAATGAACCACTACACCTGGCTTACTGGTTAATTAATTTAAATGACATTTAAATGATCAAAATTGCTATGACCAAGAAACAGGCTACGTAATCTAGTAAGTTATCAATAGCAAAATTGTATTTCTAGGCTAGTACTTGACAAACAATTTGCAATGAAAAAAAGTTTTTTGGTTTTTCTTAACAATATGATCTTTGTATTCAAGAGGCCTTTCAAGATCTCTACATTCCTAGGGACACCTCAAATATCAAATGGATGGATGTTATGTCATTGGGGCACTTACATTTATTGCTTGACCAGTCTTTTGAATAAATAATACTTTTATAATGAATTTATAACGATGGTACCCAAATTCTTTGACTGCTGTCAATACTCGATCTGCCAAGTCAAGTGACAAATGAGAGAAGGATTTATCATCATATTTGACATCTTTAAGACTGTCCTTTAAAAAAAATTGAGAAAAAAGTTTCAATTTTTAAACAAAATGTTTTTATGTAAATAGAACACGTGTATCTACATAATACCTACAACTGTTTTAAAATAGATATATTCCTGAAAATTACCATGTTATACTTACCAATTTATTTTCAATAACAATTTTGGAAAATTTGCTTTCAAAATTATGTTCAGTTGTCAAAAGCCAGGGTTAGTGGCATATGCCTTTAATTCCAGCCCTCAGGCAGCCAAGGCAAATGGTTCTCTCTAGTTCTAGGCCAGCTTGGCCTATACAGTTAAGTTCTAGGCCAACCAAAGCTACTCAAAGCAGTTAGGTTCAGTTGCCCTTCATGATCAACACTTGAGTTGTAAGTTTCTGATCATGAGGCTACTCTGTCAACTTACTGTAAATGGTTCCGTTTTCATTTTTCACTAGGGAGACAAAAGAACTTCAAAAGGTTTCTGGGAATTCATAGCAAAGGAAAGAAACTCTTTGTGTTCATAATTGTGTGTTCCAAATGCAGGTGTTACCTGGGCCAAGTTGTCTTTATGTTACTACCTTCTCTGGGCATCTTACTTCTATGGCATCAACAATTTAGCATATTTACTAATAAACTAACACACCTGAGAAAAATAGACGTGGGTCATAGACCATGAAGCAGATTTACTTTAAATGTACTAATGTTTTGCCTGCATATATGTCTGTCACCACTTGCTGCCTGGTGCCAAAGGAAGCCAGATGAGCTATTGGATCTCTGGCACTGGAGTTTTAAATGGTTATGAGGCTCCATGTGAATCCTCTGAAAAATAAGCCAGTGCTCTTAATCACTGAGCCATCTCTTCATTCCAGGATCCTTTCTTAACAAACTGTGAGCAAATCTGGACCGATGAAGGTGCTGATTACAAACAAAGCCTTCAATTAACTAACTCTCTGGAAGTGCACCCAGGACTGCACACTAAGTTCAGTGATACTAATCAACAAAGAGTCATGTAAATGTCCTCTCCCTCAATCCTCCTGCACCCCACTATTCTACCCTCCTTCTTCCCAACTTCACCTATTGGCTCCCTGATAAGTTCCTTCCATGTAGACAGCTGGTCTAAGGCCTGCATTTGGTCTTGCATCTATTGTGTCAATACTCAGTATTATTTGCTTTCTTCTGAATCTAACTCAAGTTCAAGGTTAGTCTTCTCTCAGGGTAAACCCAACCCATTGCTTGTCTGTCTAGGAGTCTCTCCAAATCCATATTGTGACTGTAACTCTGGGCTCAGGACCCAGGGGAGGCGTCTGTAAATGAAGTTCATACCTAGCCCATTTATTTTGTTTAATTTTATTTATGTGGTAGGGTCAAGTGAGAGACCAAAAATATACACTCGCATCACACATACCATTAGCATTGATCAGAATTCTTTCCCCAAACCATAAGCTATACTATCTTTGTCAAAAATCAATTATTTTGAAATGCATAGTTAGCAATGGAGGGATGGGAGGCAGTAGAGAGGTTCAAACTATGCCACCTTAAAAATGCTGCTTTGTCGTGTTGACCCAAAAGTGCTTGAAAAAATTGTGACTGCAGTAGCCTACCCTTTCTTTTTCTTCCTGAAAGCAGGAGATAAAACTCCTCTGAAAAGGGCCCTCTCCGGTTTCAAGAGAGAGGCTGGGTACAGCCAGAGATAGGAGAGGAGACAGACATATCACTTCCTCAACTTTCCTAGGCACCTCTCTGGGATTACCTACTAAAGCCCAAACACCTTTAGTCATGCTTTCCAACTTTTCTAATCTGTATCCCAACTAGTGTACAAGAGCTTGACTCTGCCTTTCCATGCTTCTTCCTCACAAAGTCTTCCGTGTCTAGGGAGAAGTTACTACAGTTTGCTTTCCTCTCAATCTGTCTTAGAGCAGTTTAAATTTTAGGTGAGGTGGAAACCTAAAGAGAGTTCATCTCTCCCGTAGGTGAGGGACTGCAGCTGCTGGAAATCAAATGTTGACCCTTAGCATGCAGATACAAGCTGAGCTCCTGGTCACACAGGTTGAGAATGGGACCCAAAAGTTGATCAATGGAGTATGAACTCAAGTCCATTTCACATAGCAAATGTCAGGTTCTCCAAACCTATCCTGAGCCAGTTATGGAAGTGGTATGATTAGAATAGACATGATTAGCAGCTGGCAGAAGAGCCACATTGAGTCCTTTACCTGTGAAGTCAGAGATCTTATTGAGGAAAACCTCCAATGGAAACATTTAGAATTACCTCTGCCTTACTCAAAAATAGTACGGTCTCATGAAGGGGCTGTAGAAAGCACTGCCATTGTAATTGTTACTAAGGCCTCTTTCAATCCATCTGTTTGGCTGTTCTGTATGCTTGGTCAGGCACCATCTACAGCTGTGGCTGCTGCATGGGACATGGTTTCACTGCTTAAGCAAAACATTTTTTGGCACCACTCCTGTAGTTACTGACCTGAAGAAAAAAATGCCTTTTTTTCTCCATACCTACCCATAATTGTCACTAAAAACAGTTTGCTTTCAGGTAGCAAAGGTAGAAGTGCAGCTTTCCTGTCCTAACTGAGGTATACCAGCTATCCAGTTCTGTAGACAGAGGAGGAGTTTTCCTGTCCCAACCACCTGGTCCCAAATAAACACTGAGAGGCTCATGTATGACTATAAATGCTCTGCCAATATTTCAGGATTATTATTAACTAGCTCTTACATTTAAATTAACCCATTTCTATTAATCTATGTATTGCCACATGGCCCGTGGCTTTACCTGTCCTCTAGCATCTTGCATCTTTGCTGTCGTCTCCCTGGACTCTAACCTTCTTCACCCCAGTCCTGAGTTTGCTTGTCCTGCCTAATTTTATCCTGTCTTGCTATAGTCCAATCAGTTTATTATTAACCAATGAGAGTAATACATATTCACAGCATACAGAAGGATTATCCCACAGCACAGCCCCATGCCAGAATTTAGTTTATAGGGAACTTGGTTGACTTTCCCTCTAGATAGACTGAATTCAACACTCAGCACTGTAGGACCATTTAGCCTCTATATTATTTACGGGGAGTCCCTATAGTGAACACATACACACACACACACCCCTCTTCCTCAATAAATATGATCACATGACTTATTTTGGCCTAAGATGCTCTCGGTGGTCTCATATATGCTGGACAAGCATCTATCACTGAGCTACATCCTTGGTCCCTAAATACCTTTAATATCTGTTGGATTTTAGTTTCTACTGAATGCGCTTGGAATTTCTTCAATGGCTCCATTCTATATGAATTGGCAAACTTTAGTTTTGCCAGGGCACTCTTCCATTCTTTGCCTATATCAGCAATTGAATCATCAAATGGAGGTTCCACATACTGAACGTCATGAATAGATTCTCTCAGTCTCTCTCTTAAGATCTGTGCATACTGAAAGAGGAAAGGAGAAAGATTACGTTTCAGACTTTAAGGATCTGCATACAGTGGAGGCAGAGCTAACGAACCTGAAATCTAGGTGTGCTTCCGAGTAGTCACTAAATGTTAAACTGTTAACTGCCAACTACTGATGTTTTCTATCGTCAGTTTGAGACTAAGTAACCGCTGGAGGGATAGGCTTTGGGGCTTGCCTATGGAGGATTCTTTTAATTTGACTAACTAAAATGAGAAGACCTACCCACGGTGGGAGGCACCATTCCCTAGGAAGGGATCCTGAGCTGTATAAAAAGGAGAGAGGGTGTGGGGCACAAGTAATCACTACTCTCTGCCCCCTGAGTGTGGATTCAATGTGATCAGCCACTTCAAACCCCTGCTGTCATGACTTGTCTGTCTTGGTACCCTGGTACCACAAGGCCAAAACAAACTCTTCTCTATTAAGCTGCTTTTGTAAGGGTATTTATCATAGCAACAGGAAAAGTAACTAAGACATACACAAATATACAAATGCACAACTTGTGTGTGTATATTTAGAATACCTACAAAATATCCAAAAGGACCAGAAATAAGAGTAGCCTCCACAGGGTGCCTGAGGGATAAAGATAAAGCAACTTTTCATGCTTCCTTCACACCTGCAATTATGGAAACATATCCATACATTTAGTTATCTTTAAATAAGTAACAGATTTAGGTAGCATACTTATCTTAACTTGAAAAGATAACAAAAGGAATATATTTGTGTATATATGTCCATTTTTGACATCTGATATATCAGTCCATGATTTTTGACATGATGCTTCCTTCTGAAGTATCCAATTTGTATTAGTAAAATAACTATTAGAGCCCTGTAGTTGTGTCCAAACTGTGACTGACTGGTGGATTGCATGCACCCTAGGCTGAAAACAATGCAGCACGTATGTAGGTGACAAAGTCACACAGCAGTTTCAAAACACTAGACAATATGGTAGTAGTTCCTGGAGCAATGTTCTAGTCCCTTCAAGTGCCAAGCTTCATTTTCTTAATAAACAAGAATTCCTTTTTTGTACATACTTGCTTGTCTAGAACTTCCAACTTCATTTTAACTAGAAGTGATAAGTATGCTTGCTTTAGTCCTATTAAGAGGACAAATTTTTAGTCCTCTACCACTCAATATGATGGCTACAGGCTTTTAATACATGGATTTTTAACGTTCTTGTAAGTCTAGGTATTGTTTATTCAGTATTTTTGCATCATGAAAGGGTAAATTTTGGCAAAAATGATTTTCTTTTTTTTTCAGAAGTACATTCTTTTTATTTCTTTAGATGTGCACACATACAAGATATTTTACATTTCCTAAGATGACTCTCCATTTCTTCTTCTTGTATTAAACTAAAGTTCATAAAGAAATACTGAAGGAATATTTCAAAAAATCTTATTTCAGTAACCTCAGCAATGGAGGGTGAGAGGTAGCACTCCCCTCTCCATGAGATCTTTATATTTATGCTCCTTGTCCACCAATGATCAGCTTCACAGCCTCTGGTGAACTCGATATCATCTCAATATCATCTTGTCCAACAAATGTCATTTGTTCTTCTCTGCTTTCCCTGTATCGGCGGTAAAGGATGTACGCAATTGCTGCACTTGCTGGGATTCCAAGTATCAGGGTTATATCTATATATATATATATATATATATATATATATATATATACACACACCAATCACATACACACATATATATGCACATATTAATATGTATTTATATACACATATACATATTACACAACACACACACACACAGAGGGGACTCTAGCAATTCATCAGTTACATTTCAGGTTTTCATACCCTACCACTAAAATTTTGAGCTTTGGTATGTATGCTGAGTCTCTCTACCTACTGTTACTAATTTTGGTTGGTAGCAATTTGTCCTAGTCACTTTTCTCATGTATTTAAAATCTGATTCGGGGTTTGCAATTTTTGTTACTTAAGATGTAGGGACTTCAACTTCCTATGTCAACAATTTGGAATTCTGTGTTGAAATATATTCTAGCTACATATAGCACTCTAGGTTTAGTTTTCTTTCAGCATGAAAGAGATGCTTCAGTGTCTTCTAATTCAGATGGTTTCTGAGAAGCCTGCTGTTTTCTCTTTCATAGAAATGTTTACATTCACTGCTTTCAAGTATGTCTTGGCAGGATTTCCTGTTTCTTGTGCCTGGAATTCACTGAGATTCTTTGCTTTATGGGTTTAGTTCTCATATTTGTTGCTTTTCATCTAGAATTTCAAGCATTATTTGTTACCCTTTCTTTTTTCTTTATGGACTCAAATAACAAGACTACTCAGGCACTTGACAGACACTGAAGACCTTTTCAGAACGTTCCCCTCACGCTTCTGTTTACTAGTCTTCTTCCTGTGAGATTAAATCTGTTAATTCCACTCACTGCATATGATCAGACATTGTGTTTATTTATGGAAGGCTAACTCAACCTTTTTCTTAAGTGACTTCTACCTTTGTTTCCACTACAATACACTCAAGGGACACACTATTAATACACTGTATGACTAACAGTGTTTTCAAGATTGCATAATGCTTCTGGGAATAGGACATGTAGAGCTTCAAATTAACCCTTAGTGAACATGCTACCTTGAAAACTACATTTCTGACATTTCTTCTTTATGTATAATACCAGTTACTTGGTTTAACATACTCTTATTAAAAGTACTTTATTCTTTCAGCTCTGATGAAACCCTTACCATCTTTTTAAATGCCATCAAATTTGTTATCAATAGTAAGCTACTGACTGGCATTTATCTACATGGAGCCTACTTACAGACCTAGAATAAACTGAGCTTACTGGTGTCATTTTCCAATGAGAGATTTAATTGTTTAGCTAAAGTACTATTTATTTGCTAATGCTTTTGGTTTTCAAATACACATGCTTGAATGAGATTGATGAAGTTGCCAATTTTTAGTAATCTGCTTAAGGTTTTGTAATCTTGGATTGCAAAGACCTAACTCCTGCTAAGCAAAAAATGCAATGTATTGGAAGCATGGGAATAATTCAGGCAGGAAGAAAAACCTTAAGAACTAGACTCAGAAAGACACATGAAGGACACTCCAGTTTGCATCTGCCATTATAATAATAAACCTCAAGCCTTTTCTTAGTTCATTAAATCTAATTTTGTTTCATCCTCCTACAAAGTTTAAGTAGTCACCCAAACCACTAATACCCTACCCAGTTGGGGAGGAGTTATTTTCTGAAAATACACCACTAGAAAAAAGAAAAAGAAAAAAGAAAAAAACACAGGAAGCTGGAGAGCAGTTAAGAGCACTTCATGCTCTTGGCATAAGATCCAGTGGTTCCCAGCAATCACTTGATGGCTCACAATCATATATATAATCTGCCTTGGTCCATGTACCTTTGCTTCTAGATTTTACCAAATTGTATCTTCATGTTGGATCCAGGCTCATTCAACTTTCAAGATAGGCAGTAGATTCACAGAAGTGACTCTTGTCTGTCTCAAAGTATGGAAGTTTTTATTTACTGCTGGTAACCCAAACTTTAACATAGTACAATGTTGTGCTTTTCCCTAGGTGTGTGAACTTGGCATTCTTACTTTTTCCCTATCTCTTCTTTTCTCTGCAAAACTCTTGCCACAAAAGAGACATTAGAACCTAAAATGTTGTCGTCACGCTAAGTGATCCTGAAATAGCTTGCTTTTCAAAAACTGCATCTTTCCTGTTCTATCTAGCTCCATCCTACCAATCAATCATGAGCCACAGATACGGAAAACGGCAGGTGTCCTAGGATACAGGTTCTAAGCTCAGTTCTGCATCCTTGGGAAAAATGTTTTCCCTTATGGCCTCAATGGAAGACTGAGTTCCGATTACATCAATGGTTTTAAAGGGCAACCATATAGAAATGCCAGTGTTTTGGCATCAATAAAATGGGATGCTGACCTTTTCTACCGATATCTGAGCAATAACTAGAATTATCTTCAACTTTTTCCTCTTAAATATCCTTCAAATAACAAATAGTAAGACTTAATTGATCTGCACATGTCAGTCCCCCCCCAGGTGTGTGTGTGTGTGGGGGGGTGTACAATGTGTATATATATATGGTATAAACTCACTTGGGGTTAGTAAGCCATATATATATGAGAAGGCGCAGCATATGCAACTGCTGGATAACTCTAGACATCTGCCAGCTAAGTCTGAAAGGAAGTGAGAACCCACCGTGTAAAAACTTCCTATTAGTTAACCTATGGTTCTGTGGATTTAACAACAAAAACCCTTCGGCCTTCGACGTCTAAGCCATGCTCAGCAAGGGTCGGGAAGACGGCAGCAGGAACCGGGCAGCCATCGGGCGATCTAACGGGGGCAGAGCAGCCCGGTCTCACGGGAGGGAAAGCGGCCTCGGGCCGGGCGCTCTCCACTCACTGCCTCCTTCTCGAACATGCTAGGCCTCCGATCTTTCTTAGACGCCACCGGCGACTGGTGCGCCGCGCCGGGGGACGACTTCGTCATTCGCGACCGCCGGTCCATCTCGATCCGCTTCCCCGAAGGCGCCGCGCCTCCCGCCGCTCTCTCTCCGCCCAACGCCCCGGCGGCTGCCAGGCCAGGGACACCGACTCTCGCGCCGGCAGCGTCCTGGAAGGCGGCGCAGAAGGGAGCGCGTGCGTCATCAGAGCGCGACACAGCCCTAACCGGAAGCGATGGAGGTAGGATGGCCGCCGCCTGCAGC